GAAGAGGGAGGGAGGGAGGGAGGGAGGGAGGGAGAGAGAGAGAGAGAGAGAGAGAGAGAGAGAGAGAGAGAGAGAGAGAGAGAGAGCGCAAGAAAACTGCATGGAAAGGGTTGGAAGGAAGAAAAGAAAAATAGGAAACAGTGTAATTGTAATTTCAAAAGAAATTATTTTTTAGGAATGTGATTGAATTTTTTTGACATTTCTTGATGTACTCATTCCTCTATGTTTTCATTTGGGAGCTGGTATTGCTCAGTAGTGGATTCTATGGTTCATATTCCTAGTTTTGAAATTCATGTATCCTAGGTACATTGAGACAAGTGGTCTCATCTTTCTTCATCTTAAAACTGTGACCAAAATAGTTGTAGAGGAGATCTAAAGTGTTCAAAACAGAGACTCCACTATTTGACATGTGGATAATATGTGTATGGCCCTTTGATACTGTTAGTACATAGTGCTATCATAGTTCGTTGCTATCAGAGCATTGCCCTTGACTGTATATGTATCAGGGAATTGACCATTCAAGCATTCCCTATAATGACTGTTGCTCTAATCAACATTTTTGCAGTGTTTTCTAGAATTTATCTAGAACCTTATGGATTTAATGCCTTTACTCCTAATTCTGCCTCCAGAGAATTAGGTCTTAGTCTGAGCGGAAAAGGTACAATGTCCTCTCTCTTCTTCATTTCTCCTGACTAAGCATGTTCTATTTGTTTGCTATTTTAAAAACAAATAAAATAGCATCTGCGTATGTGACTGTTAGGATTTGAACATGGAGCGTGACTTCCAGTGTTGAATGCTTGGTCTCCAGTTGGTAAAGATATTTTCCAGTGGTGGAGGCTTTAGGCAGTGGGATCTAGTTGGAGGAAATATTAGTCATAGTTAGTCCCTGATCCCTCCTCTTCATCTTTCAATCTGTATCCTGACTACCAAGAAAAAAAAATAGCTTCCTCTTCCACATATTCTTGCTGCCATGATGTTTTCCCATTCTTCAGACCCAAATTAATGGAGCCATCTGACCATGGGTTTAAATCTCTAAAACCGTGAGGCAAAACAAATAATTCCATTTTATGTTTATTTGTCAGATATTTTGGTCACAGTCCCACAAAACTCATACAAAAACTGCAGAGTTATTTGAATATTAAAGATTGGGAGAACTTTGGACCCAAAGCCATGTGGCTGCAGTCAGTAGTTCAGGTTGGTCTATAACAAACAGTGTCCCAGATTCTTTCCTAAAATTAAATAATAAGATATACATTAGCCTAATAAATGGAAAATAGAAACATGAAATAGTAGTTAGGTAAGGTGATTGAGAATGTCTCCTTCTAATGAGTACAACACGAAGAGTGTTGATATAGGTGTGAGTTTTGCTCTCGGTCAGATTCCCTGAAGTTCACACTGTAGCAAGTCACTGCCATGTGTACAATGGGGACTTACAAGCACAGCCAATAGGAAGATGTTCCTTAAGGTCCTATCAATGACTCTTTCTCGTACCTGACAATTGCTACCAGATGAGGGCAGAGCAGTGTAACTCAGTTTAAAGTACATTTCTATTAGAAGGTGGCTAGCTCCACAACTGTGGGAGTTCAGAGTACAAATCTGTACTCTTAGAGAGAAATATAAAAAAGTATTATTTTGCATTGCCAATCGAAAAAGTCACAGTGAGCACATTTACTTCTGGGCATCTTGGCATGAGCTAATAAGGGCTCAGCTCAACGTACCCACTGACTTCTTGTTCCCTTGACCACAGGCTACTAGGACATGGAAGATAATGGTGTTATACTACTTGGATATCCCAATAAAACTTCTCTCTCACTCATTGAAAGAGGCAAAGTGATTCAAAACTTGGATATTCTTCTTGTTCCTCGAGACAGGGTCATATGTTGTAGCCCATACTAACCTGGAGCTCACTATATAATCCAATATGGCCCAAATTCATGAAAATCCTTTCTTAGCTTCTGGGGTATTGGGGTTACAGCATGGCCATATGGTTAGCAAGAAGTATTATTTTTTCTCCACTTAATGAAGATAGTTGAGGCATTCATGGTAGGTATGGATGTGGATGGCAAGTGTTAAAGTAAATCATTGTTGACCATGATGCTAAAGAAGTTTACTCCTCACCGCCTGTTCTGGACCAAATAATCCACCACATTGTGGCAATTAGCAAGCTATTATTAGGGTCAAAGAGATATCCCAGTGAGTAAAGTCCTAGCTGTGTGTGTGTCAGGTGAAGACTGGGGGTTAGCTCCTCAGTTCCACATAAATACTGGGTGGGCTTAGTGCTCACCTGTAATCCCAGTGAATGATAGTGAGGCAGTTAACTAGACTACCTGAATTGGTGAGCTCTGGGCTCAAACAAGAGACCCTATTCCAATATATAGGTTGATGAGTTATCAAAAAAGACACCTGATGTCAAACTCCTGCCTCCACATGTATGCAAACACATGTGATCCCATACATATAAAAAATGTAAATGCAGAGGCACACTCATCACACACTCATCACATTACATGTACACACACAAAAGAAGGCTTTATTACACAAGTAACAGAATGTGTGGGCAGTGGTGGTTTATTCCAGAACAGACTTATTTTCTAACAAAGTTAGAAGCTCAGGGGTCGAGTTCTTGATTTCTAAAGGAGATCATGATCTGAGGGAATACACCATGACATGATGTTGGGATGACAGCCAAGTGAAGAATGGCAAGCCACTCTGTGGTGATCTCATATACCATATGCTGATGGACATTTGATCTCCAAGTGCTCCAGCTCTCATGTCTACATCATGCTGACTGCCCCTCCTTCCCTCAACATCATATTTCAAGATCAGCAAAAGATGAAAAAGGCGATGAGTAATGACATGCAAGCTTTTTGAAAAACATCTATTTTCCTATTGGCCTCACTCAGCTTACTGGCTGAAGTTGGATTGTGTGAGATGTCTTCTTGGTCAAATCCTTGTTCTGGGTTTTGTGACAAAAATACCATTTGTATTTCGCGTCCAGTTGGAAAGCATGCAGTCTGTCATGAAGGAGAAGACTTGATGGTAGGAGCATCAAGGATGCAGCTGGTCACGTTGCATCGGAGATCAGGAAGTAGGGAAGGCTGTAAGTGCTCAACCAGTCCTCTCCATTCCTATTCCACAGCCGGTACCCCAGAACAGTGCTGCCCATAGACAGAGTGGTCTTTTCATCTCACCTTCGTCTAGGAATCCTTCTCACAGCAATTTCCAGAGATGTGTTTTTGAGTTGATTCAAGATTCATATGAGCCATGACAGCTTCCAAGGAAAGGCTGGAAAAGCAGGAAGTAGCACTGTATTAACTGCTTCTATGCAATGCTAACTCATCACTTTGGGCTTGTAGGTCACTATTCTTAACAGACTTAGGCCTTCCTAGAAGAAACTCAGTGGAGGCCCCTTCTACATGCAACGTCAGAGTGTCTTGCTGCTTTGCGGGTCCTTCCAAGTCATCTGCTTTTTTAAGTAGTCGAATTGATACCTGATAGGATTACATGTGCTTTGTTTTCTTAACCTCATAGTGTCTAGAGGGCAGGGAATATGTTTTCCTGTTGGAGTTACCACAGGGTCAGAAGCATAAATATTTCTTACAGTTCTATTAACTTATCTTGAACAAAATAATGCTGAATTCTAGAATGCTACAGGTACAGTTCTAGAATATCTTAGTTGAGAGGTATGCAGGAACATACCTGGTTTGCAATGGAAATAAGAACACATGAAATAGTTCACAAAGATACATTTTAAAGTCCATTTTGAAAAATAGGATCTTCTTCTGGTTAAGTTTTACAACCCTTACCTCACCTACAACTGTATTTTAAATAATTAGTTTTCCAAAATTTATCGACTTCAATTGAGTATGATTGGATTGGGAAATAGACCAGGGATTGTTTTAAGAGATAGGTCATAGGAAATACAAACAGACCTGCTTCTGCCTTCCATATTCACCTGTGAGTCTGAGGTCAGAAGTGCCATGTGATATTCAATGCCAGAGACCCATAGATTCTGGTCTTCATGGAACATATTATTGATTCTCTTGGAAGAAAACAGGACTGGATAGCACCTGAAAACACACGGAGATCTGGTGTTTATCGAGCAATAATCCGAGGCATACAGTTGACAGTTTTGGCAAATGTAAGAGCAGTTACTTTTGGAAAAACTGAACTGAGCTACAGTCCTTTATGAAGAATGTCTGATATCTGGAGGATGAATAGATCCCCGATTTTAAGTCTTTGAGAAGCTCCTCTGCTCTCAGGATGTGAAGCCATGCTGTTCTCTGTTTTATCTCTTACAGGCCATGTCATCAGAACTGAATTTACTGAAACAGTTATGAAATTTCAGCAGGAGCTGCAGGCCACATGGACAGACATAGTAATAATATAGATCAGTTTGGACCCAAATAGAGCAAAGGAGGTATTATTAAGTTAGTTTGTTTGGTACAAAAATTGCTTGTGACCACTGAGGCATTATGACTTCTTTTCACTTAAAGGAAACTATATGGGCAATAAAATAAGTACTGTTTTTGTGACTCCTGAAAACAAAAACCAATGAAAACTATGCCTAGACATGGATCTTTCAGTAGTGCCAGGAGTGTTGAAATTTGAATCACAGAAGAATTCCTTCTCTCAGAACAAGGATAGCAAGAGTGGAGAAGTAAAGACTATAAAGACAATTAAAAGGCAAAGCTCACCACAGAAGAGAGGTCATTCTTACCTCTAGACAAAATATCTTGGTCATGTCCAGACGAGATGTCTTGGATATATTTTCCAGTCAGGAATTAGACCCCAGTGAGCACACTTTCATGCTGAGGTCAATCATTTAGAAATCTGGTTTGACAGAACATTATTACTCCATTTATTCAATATGGTTTTCCATGAATATGTTCCATGTGCCAAACACTGCATTCCACATAAAAGTTTCTTTCCCTTTGAAGCAAAGAGTTTTTCATAATTACTACACAAATGTGACCTGGCAAAAACAGGTCTGTCACATCTTATCATTCCATATTATACATCAGAAAGGGTTGTATGAGTTAAAACTTGCATCTGACTATTGCTAAGAATGATGTGAGATAGGAGTGTCTTAAGTTAGCAGGGCTATTACTTTTCTGTTGATCAGAAGTCAGGAGGGAGACAGGCCAGGGAGAGTGTGACAGACATATGCTATCATCGATGTACCGGGATGCTTTCATCTTTCGGTTCCGCTATCCTTAGCACATGGCATCCATCCTCAAGATCACGAGATGGCAGCTGGAAGTCTTGCTATCAAATCTGCATTGCAGAGAAGGAAGAGAAAGCAGTGAACACACAGAATCCTATAATCTCTTAATGGAGTCCGACCCCCAAAATAGCACTCTAGCTCTCTCCACACAGAGACTGCTGCTCCAATCACATGGATGACTCCTTAACAAGTTACTCTGGAAAAAAAATTTCACATGGTGGTTATGTCTCTATGTCATATAATATGGTTATTTTGCTACTAAGAAATAAAAAGGAAGTTAGATATTGGGATGTATTAGAGGTCTCTATCGCTAGACTGCGGAATGGAGTTGAGGGTGGGATAGGGACATAGATTTGGCATCAGAAATATGCTGGCATTTACTAAATTACATGCAATCTCATGACCAGTATGTGATGATGGATGCACTTAGCAGTTCAGATTCTCAACTTTCACACTTATAAACTGAACTTCTGGTAAAAATCTTGCTTGCAAAATTGCCTTTAGGATTGAATAAGATATAGCACAGTTCAATATTGCATTGGGCAACTGATCCAATTTGTGTTTTGCGTTTAAAATGTTTTATTGCTATTAAAATATGGGGACTCTATACCAACAAAAGCTGAAGACATTTGAGATAAAAATGTCAAAATACAAAAAGAATTCCTGGTTCCTGAAAGGCATAATGATGTTATGAAAGGAAGACAAAATGGGCTTTATCAGGCTAGAAACAAAAGACGCCATAGAGCAGCAGGGAGATGGCTCGATCCCATAGTCACCTCTCCTAGCACAAACAACCAAGGTGTGTTTCAATCAGGAAAGTGGACAGACATTGTTTTGCCATCTAAACGACTGGCATCCAAACCTATCTGAAGATAACCCTCTGTACTTCTGCCAGCCCATGCCTTCTCATCATTTACAGACGTTGACCTTTGCATCTAGTCTACTGAAAGTGCTCCCGACATAACTCTCCTATTGTACACCCATCTTATCTTCCTTTCCCCCTCTTGGCACGTTATCATCTAGCATGCTCTATATTTTACCATGTCCCTTTTCTTTTACGAGTCCACCAGGTCTCAATAACAGTGATTTGCATATTATTCTGTACAGGGATAGTGGCTAGATAACATAGAGCACATAACAGGTGCTCAGTAATCATGCCATATTGTGTACTCATTACACAATTATCCTCTTATTTTCCAAAGGACTTACCACCATGTATATGCATGCACATAAAGACATACACACTTTGTCTGATTCTCCACAGTAGTCTTTAGTCTCTATGAGGTCAAGGGTATCATCTATTTTGTCTACCACTCAGCACCTATAAGTAGGTGCTTTTAGTAGGTATTTAATATGCCTTTGTTGATGCTGAATTCCTCATAAATTCAGAAACAGTAACTCAGTGAAGACCTCTGGCCAGGAAGTATAGGATCAAATATGCATTGGTCATGATACCTGACATCCTGAGGGAGACAGAAACATAGAGGACTGGTGGTAGGTTTTATGAAACTAACACTTTCCCTTTGTTCCATATGTATACAAATACACACAAAATGGCACCTCAGAGCTGCAAAGTCGTTTCTGTGTGGTTGACAGTATTAACAAATTTTAATAGATACATGATAAATGTGCACATGGCAAGCATTAGCTAAGCCCATATTAATATTGTTCTGGGTATTCCTTAACATTTCTATCCTCATAATAAACAATTCCCTACAAACAGCCTTTGTTTTAATTTTAGTACTACACCTGAAATACTGCTTATTAGACATCTGGCACAGGCCATCCTAGATGATTATGAAAAGTCTGGTAGGAAAAGACCAATATTAATATTAATTGGAAGCCTAAACTGTACTAGGCACTGGACTAGTATCAAAGAGCATTTTGATCAAAGCCAGTAACAATCGCTTCTCAGAGGTTGAGAGTAAGTCCCTATTGATGAAGAAACTACACCCTTAGTGAATTTGAACTGCATTGACCTAAACGCCTCCTGCCTGTGGTAATACCAGAAGGTGTTCATGTTCATATGTCCTGATATTATGTTCATACCAGAAGGTTATATGTAAGTTGTCAAGGAAGGGAAGAAATCAATAGTACTTCCCAGCAATAAAGGCTATGAACCACAACAATGGTTGTGATATGGCAAGATATCCCTAAAGGTGCAATGGTGGCCCCCTACTTGGTAATCCAACATTAAATAGTTAGTGCTGAAATCATATATATACAAGCAATATTATACAGAATCAACAAGTTGCAAGTGTGTTTCTGAGAGAGAGAGAGAGAGAGAGAGAGAGAGAGAGAGAGAGAGAGAGAGAGAGAGAGAGAATGAGAATGAGAATAATCAAGAAAAATAGAAAGTGAGAGCAGGTCATGGGAGAATTTGAAGGGAGGGAGCATTGGGGAATGGAGCCTGGAAAGAGGAAGGGAAAGTGATATAATTATATTTTAGTTATTATTTGAATAAAACCCCACATTTAAAATATACTGATAAAAATGCATTTTGACCAAGTAAAGGGCTAAAACAAATCTCCGCACTAGTTGTGAATTAAGCTTGAGGAGTGAATCCTCAGGCATCTGATGAATGTAGACCTAGAGGTGACTGGAGAAAATGTGTTGGCACAGGGCACAGTCTCTCCACAGTCCAGTGCTGAAGGTCTTTAGGGTACAGAGATCCTCCCTTAATCTGGAGTACAGTAAAAGAAATGTAAGGACCTTGGATAGGAGCAGCTTGCATTGGGAGAAACTAGCATCAAGGCTTGTGCTACCCTTTCCCCCGAGTCTGTGAATTAAGATGGAGTAAATCTTCAAAGAGAAGAACCAAATCTCGGATCCCGAGGGCAGCCTTCAGCTGCATGTGTATGAAGCCCGCCTGCTCCAGGGAGCAGCGATCAAACTCGATGTGACCAAGCCAAGACACTGTTGGTTGTGGATGGGATCTGACTCCGGTGTCGCCATTTGTTAAGTTCACCTTTCTCATTTCATGCAACTTACTTTTATCACAACCACGTCCTTCTTAACCCTGCATTTCTTTTGAAATGTCCATCTTCCCCTAAGCATGGCTTTGTAAACTCCTAATCGTATTTGTTTGTTTTAATTGAACAAATATGTTCTATGTCATGGGTACAAGTGATGGCTCCTAATTGGATTCATGCTAGCTCGGCTTGTAGTTACAGAGGACAGGTTTCTCTGGTTCGGCTTGGGCTTGGTGTGGGTGGGTGGGTGTGGGGGGGAGATAACTTTAAGGCTTGATTAAAGCACGTTTCTCTAATGTCAGGGTTCCCTCTGAAGGAACGGGTGTAATCTTCGGGGAACAATGGAGACTTGCTCAACTTTAGAAAGTCAGAACAGAAGTTTAAAAAAACAACCCTCGCTCCAATTTTCAACAGGATTGTATAATGTTCAAAAAATGAAAAAAATCCCCCCCACTGTAACCGCAGGAAGCCAAGCATTAAAGTCAGAAAAAAAGGAGAGGCCCCAGCCCCACCCCCAGAATGCATTGCACCATATTGTTTTCCTTTTGTGCTTGCTGATTTCAGAGTTTCATTTTCTGTACATTAAAAAGGGAGAAAAAAAGGAGACTTAAGAAAATATTCGTTAGCGGTTTCTGTCTAAATCTCATCATCTAATTATTTTCACAGTGAACATTTGAAATGGCAGAAGCAATTCTGCCAAGAGCCCTCTCTCCCTGGATTCCAGGAGATGTTTCACAATAATTAGAAACCCCAATGGGTCTCTTAAGAACCCTTAAAGGGTTCCATATGCAGACTTCCATATGAAGTGGTACAATGTGCAGTTCTTCATTTTCCACAATAGGGCTTGACAGGTCTTAATGTATATTATTACATTAAATGAGATGCACATTAGTTGGTCAGACTGCTGGGTAGCTGGCCATAATTCACTGAGAAATACAAACCAACCCGGTAACCCCATTATTTCCTCTTCCCTCCTCATGTCCACATGTGGGCACATATATGCATGTGCGCACGCGCATACCCCCCCCACACTCACAAACACACTGGATTTTCGTACCTTGTCCTTGAATGTGAGTAACTACTCTCATTGGTTTACTGTAGTTTCAAAGTATTTTAACACATCTCAGGCAAGAAACAGGGGGCGGGGGTGGTTAAGCCAGGCATCATACAAGAGCTATCTACAGTTCAATTTTCCTTTGAACTATTAGAAGACCAACAGTTGTTCTTTGGACAGGGAGATACATTTGACCTTCCATGAGCCAAAGAATCAAAGTGTCTTCTACTTAAAATCTGTGGCATGGCTAGATCTTGAAGCTCTGTTATTGTCTATGAGCTCTGTGTAGGTAGCAGAAAACAGCCATATCCCTTTGTATGGTTCCTATTTGACTGTCTATTGCAGATCATTGAGGAATGTTTATAATTTTATATTGATTAGGAAAAGCAAATTTGGTATAGTTTTGTTGGCAGCAGTATTCTGTCTTGTTCTTTTTTTTTTTTAAAGATTTATTTATTTATTATGTACACAGAAGAGAGTACCAGATCTCATTACAGATGGTTGTGATCCACCATGTGGTTGCTGGGAATTGAACTCAGTACCTGTGGAAGAGCAGTCGGAGCTCTTAACCTCTGAGCCATTTCTCTAGCCCCTGTCTTGTTCTTTATAAGTTGGTATGGTTCTTTGGGTGGGTAGTGAGTCTAGAGTTTGTGGTCCTCTGATAGGAATTGTGAAGAGTGATTTTTGATGCATTGTTTACCTTAATAAGGCCACACAAAGTAACAAAACTAGATCTCCAGAGTGAGTAAGAAAACTAACACAGCTTCTTTTCTTGAAAAGTTTATGTTCTCAGTAGAATTGACAGCTATATTTCACACTGCAAAAATATAGAATAATTGTTAAGAAGCATTATCAGTATTTCCATTTCCCATCGTCCTCTTTATGACCCTGTGTTTGTCATTGTTAATGTAGTGAAATGACTACTAGCAAGTGCCATTTGAAGCTACGGATGAGAAAAGAGTGAAATATGAGCAAGGAATACCTGGTACTTTCTCATTACTGTTCATTGCTTTAAAGATTTCTC